AAGGTATTTACCCAATAGAAATGAAAGCATACGTCCACACAAGAACTCAGACAAATGTCCACAGCAGCTTTATTCATAATTGGCCCAAACAGAACACAACCCAAATACGAATATCAACAGATAAACTGATAAGCAAGTGTCGGTATTTCATAAATGATAGCACTCAGAAACAGAATGAGTTGAGTGGGATTGATCCCTAGGAGGCTCCCTCTCGGGGTAGGGCAGGTGGGTGGGGTGGAGGCAGGGAACGGGGTGGGGCAGGGGACGTGGAGGGCAGTGTGAACGGGGTGGAGGCAGGTGGCGGGTTGAGGGGCAGGTGGATGGTGGAGGGCAGAGACGGGGTGGAGTGGCAGGGGGGACGGGTGGAGGGAGTGAGGTGGACGGTGGTGAAGACGGTGAGGGAGGACATGGTGGAGGCGAGGGTGGACGGGAGGAAGGGTGACGGGTGCAGATGCCCTCGGCAGAAAGGGGCCAGGATCCCCGCCCCACATTGCAGAAGTCGAAGAAGGGCCGAACACTATTTTTTTTTTGATACCAGAGTTCTCAGTCTGTTGCCCAGGTGTATATGCTGTGGCTCAGCCTAGCTCACAGCAGACCTCAACCTGGTCGAAGGCCTCCTGCCTCAGCTCCCAAGTAGCTGGGACTAAGATGCACCACCACTGCCCGGATAATTTTTCCTATATATTTTATTGACCAATTAAAATTTCTTTTCTATTTTAGTAGAGAGGGGCTCGCTTGCTGCAGCTGGTTTCGAACGAACTCCTGACCTTGAGCGATCCGCCCGCCTCAGCCTCCCAGAGAGAGCTAGGATTACAGGCGTGCACACTCTTTTTTTTAAAGCTAAGCCCTGCTTGAAGTGGCAACTCCACTTGCACTCTGGCCTAGGGGTCTCTCTAGCTCCCACCCCTGTTCTTAGAGGGAGATTCTGTCCCCTGCAGCTGGAGTGAGCCCAGCCCACTCCACCCAGCAGGTCCACCATCCGGAGACCACTCGCGTCCCCAGCAGCTCTTGCGTCCTTCAGGTGCACAGCTGACTGCGTGGCATCTCCCAGAAATTCCTCTACCTTGCCGTTCCAGTCACAGCCCCATCCCGTCTTCCAACTCGGAGATGGACTTATTATAATACTTAAATATACTAGTTCTTTTCTTTTCTTTTTCTTTTTTTTCTTTGAGACAGAGTCTACTCTGTTGCTGGGCTAGAGTGCCGTGGCATCAGCCTAGCCTCACACAACCTCAGACTCCTGGCTCAAGCGATCCTCCTGCCTCAGCTTCCAATAGCTGGGACTACAACCATGCCCAGCTATTCAGATATTTTTGTAATGATTAAAAATAACAGAAGAAATTTTAAAATTGCATTAAATAAAAAACAAAAAGCCAACCTAACAAAGGAGCAAGCAGATTTGAAGATGTACAAATAAAGCTTCTGGAGAGAAAACCTATGGACATTGAAACCGAGAACTCCATGGACAGGATTCACAGTAGATTAAATACAGTCAAAGAGAGAATTAGGGAGATAGAAGTCAGAATTGAGAAAATCACCCAGCATACAGCACACACCGAAAAAAAGCTTGAAAGGATTGAGAGAAAAATAACTAAATTTACAATCTACACTGGGTAAATTATCATTCAAGAATAAGGGTGAAATAAAACATTTCAAAGAAAGACTAAAAGAATTTGTCACTACCAGATGTTCATAAAAATTTTTCTGAAGGATGTACTTTCAGGAAAAAGAAAATTGAATCTAGAAGAAAAGAGTGAATTGCAAGAAAGGATAATGCATAATGAAACTGGTTTACATGTGACTAAGTCTAAACAAGCATTCCCTGTTTGATGGTGATAGCTACAACAAGATGACTAATTTGGGGTAAAAACAACATGGGCAAAAAAACCTATAGGATGAGAGGGGTGATTGGGTTTTGAGTATTCTAAATTCTTCTTATTCCATGGAAAAAAGAGAGAGATACTAATTAACTTTAGACTTTGTTAATTATGCATGTTGAAAATTTAAGTGCCTGCATGAAAATGACAGAAAGAGAATGCATAACAGCATTCCACAGCGATGGGAGCTGGAGGGAAGGGAATACAGAAAGCGTGATCAGGCCGGCTGTGGAGGCTCAGCCTGTGGTCCCAGCCACTCGGGAGGCTGAGGCAGGAGCATCGGCTGAGAGTTGGAGGTTGCTGTGCGCTGTGACGGCGCCACTGCACTCCAGCCTGGCGGCAGACCCTGCCTCAGGAAAAGAAAAAGGAGAGAAAGAGAGCTCGATCAATCCAATGGAGGGTAGAAAGGAAGGAAGACGCAGCACAAAAACAAAAAGGACAAACAGACAACACAAAATAAGATAGTAAAACTCAATTAAAATACATCATTAATCACAATAAACGTACTAATAGGTTGAAAGTGTCAGAGTTTTCAAAAAGTTAAAGGTTGAAAGTTGTCAGATTGGGTTTTTAAAAACATCTAGCCTCACATGCTATTTACTATAAGGCACCTAAGAATGTAAAGACAAAGGATAAAAGGAAAATGATGGGAAGAGATACATGGGAGGCCAGTACTCATGAAAAAGTATGTTGCAGCTCTACTAACTGTTGGAAAAAGTAAAACTAAGGCAAAAAACATTAGGACTTCCCCCCTTCTCACTATTGCACTTGACTAGTCTAAAAACAATAACAACAACACAACAACAAAACAGTATTAGGGATAAGAGTGGGTCCCCTATAGTGATAAAAGGAAGAAATTTGTCAGGAAACTATAATAATTCTAAACCTGTTGGCATTTAATAACACGGCTACAAAGTATATAAAATCAAAATTGGCAAAATTCCAAGTAGACACTGATAAAGCCACTATCACAGCAGAGATGAACACACTTTTCTTGGTAATTTATATATCAAGCAGACAAAATATTAGAAAGGGTACAGAACATTTGCATAAAACAACAAGCTTGATCTAGTGGAGATTATACATATGAATATCACTAAGATACATGAATTAACATATACCATGGATATGAATTGTTGGATTCAAGGATAGATATACTTGCATCCAACAAATCCTATTAAACAGATAGGAAACCTTTACAAAAATGGACCAGGTACAAGGATACAAAGAAAGTCTTCACAAAACTCCAAAATATCGGTATTATCCAAACTACCTTTTCTTACCATAAAGTAATAACATGTGAAATCAGTAACAAAGGATTAGTCCTCCCCCTACAAAAAACCAGAACACATTGGACAATTTAAATAAGCACATTTCTCAGCAATTCCCATGTCAAAATATATAATTAATATTAGAAAATCAGAACAAGATGAAATTAAAAATACTACTTTTTTAGTAGTAGTACTTTTAGTAGTAGTACTTTTTTAGTAGTAGTACTTTTTTACTACTTGGTGTGGTGGCTGGGTGTGGTGGCTCATGCCTATAATCCCAGTACTCTGGGAAGTTGAGGTGGGAGGATTGTCTGAGGCCAGGAGTTTGAGACCAGCCTGGGCAATATAGTCAAACCCCTGTCTCTACAAAAAATAGAAAAATGAGCCAGGTGTGGTGCTGTGCGCCTATAGTCCCAGCTGAGGCTGAAGGAGGCTGAGGGCAGGAGAATCACTTGAGCTCAGGAGTTCTAGGCCAGCCAGGGCAACACAGCGAGACCTTGTCTCTTAAAAAAAAGGGGGGGGGAGGGAAGAAAAAAGAAAAAATAATAATAATAAAAGAAAAGAGTGGTCCGAGTGCAGCGGTGTTTATAACAAATCATCACAACCAGTTGCAGATTCTTTTGTTCTTTCTCCATACCCACTGCTTCACTTGACTAGCCTTAAAAAAAAAAAAAAAAGACTGGAGGGTTGTAACCAGAGTGGTCCCTGGAAATGTACAGCCTTAAATGCTTATGGAGAAAGACTAAAAACTAATAAGTATCCATCTCAACTAATTTAGAAAAACAATCATAACAAAACCAAATAAAAAGTGGAGAAGTAAACATAAGAACAGAAAAAAGAAAATAAGAAACAGAGATAATCAATAAATGGAAATCTGATTCTTTAGAAATAGATTTGTATCCCTAGAAAATAAAACTTAAATCAGACTCAAGAGGAAAGAGAACCTAAATACACCTACAGACATTAAATAACTAGAAGCTATAAAACTCTACTCACAAGAACCACACCAGATCCAGACAGTTCTATAGCCAAGTGAGCATGCAAGGGTTCCCGTCTCACACGAACTGCTCTGCAGTCTGGGAGGGGACCCATGAGAAGAGAGAAGGTTGGATGTGAATTTGCAGGTGAAGGCTGAAGCCATGACTGACCCACCCAGCAAAGATGTGCAGCACCACTGAGCTTCAGGACATTCCAGGGGCCTGGACACGTCAGTGACCCAAACAGGCAAAGTCCCTCTCCACCGGGAAAAACAGAGACTAAACAACAAATAAGAGAATCAGAGTATGTGGGAAGACAACAGGGCCTCAGAAGGAAGACAGTAGACTAGGGTGGGTGAGGTGGGTCCACCTGGGCAGAGTGAGGACTGGGCCAGGGCCCCCCATGAGTTGTCATGGAAACCAAGGGAGGTGAAGGTTCAAGGGGGAGTCAGGTTAGCTGGGACAGAAACTGGCGTTAGCCTTTGGGGACCAGGCCACTGTGGACAGAGAGGAGAGAGGGAGGGCCGAGCTGGGATTCAGAAGAGGAAGTGGGCTGGAGGGAGTGATAGCCAAGGGCAGGATGGCGGGATGGCAGGAGGGGACACATCTGAGTGCAGCTGAGGCAAACTGCCCCACCAAGCGGGTAGCCAGCAGCGGGCGAAGTGGGCCCACCAGAAGGCCAGAAACTGGGATGGGGGCGTGAACCACCCACGCTGGAGGGCCTGGGCATTGCTGGCACATTAAATGCTGAAGCAGGGAGGGGAGATGCACCAGTGAGGGCCCTCCTGGTGGCCTTGAGGCCCAGGGGTGGCTGCGGGCACAGGGCTGGGCTCCACTGGGGGGCTGCCCCCAGCACTGCGCCAGGCACTATTCTGGGTGCTTTGCCCACAGGAGCGCCCCCAGGCCTGCGAGGCCTATTTGTGTCTACGTGTGTGTGGGGGAGACGGGAGGAAGTGGGGATGGTGAGAAGGACGGATCTTTCTGGAGTTTTGGCCCCAATGGAAGGAGGCGAGAGCAGAGGGGCCTTGGTGGTCGCGAGAACCCTGAAACCCGCCCTTTTCAGGATAGAGACAGGAAAACAGCAGAGGTGGGGCCAGGCCAGGCCAGAGGTGGCCCTGCCTGGGAGGTGGGGTCTGGCGGGCCTGGGGAAGGGTGGCCTGGAGGAGCCTGGGGACTGTGCTCAACAAAATACGGGGCAAAGACACCCCCTGTCCCTTGGCTTCCTTCTCCAGGAACCCACCCAGAGGACGTCATGTGTCTAAGTGCTTCTGGGCATTGTTATTTTTGCTGTTTGCCGGGGTGGTGGTGGAGCTGGGGAGTGACTCAGGCTTGGACCCTGTTCACGGCGTGCACGTCATGCGTGCCAGGCACCGTGCAGAGCTTGAGCTCAGGGCAGCGCTCAGCAGGGGCTCCGGTGCAGCCCTGGGCAGTGGGTCTCCCGCCCAGCTGAGTCTAGAGCCCATCAATCTGTTGGTTGCCAGTTGGCAAAGACATGAGATTTTCTCCTGAAAGGCTCGGCAGCCAGAGCCACAGTGCCTGGGTTGGGTGGCTGGAGGAGGCTGAAGGGGCCCCCGTGAGGTCCAGGCTGGGCGGGCAGGCCAGAGGGAACATGGCCAGGGCCTCTGGGTCCATCCAGACCAAGGGTAGGTTTGCAGGGAGAGCTCAAGGGAGAGCGAGAAGTTCTCGCTGTGGAGAGAGGTGCAGCCTCTTCCTCCAGCCCATGCTTGGGTGGACGAGCACGTCCAGCCACCTTGTAGTGGCACGGCGGGGGTTAGGCTGGGACTCAGGAGCAGGAAGTGAGGCGTGGTGGAGGGCAGGGTGGGGACAGCAGGCAGGGCAGGGCGCAGGTGTGGGTGTGGGGCGGAGGCGCTGGGGCAGGGAGGCGGTGGAGACACAGAGGGCAGAGCACTTGTTCCTCCTCTCAGGCTGGGCACAGGAATCAGCGCTCATGCTTCCCAAGGTGCTTCCTGAAGATAAGGGAGCCTGGACAGCTCTGCCTGTTCCCCGCCCACCCATCCGTGCCTAGCCTCTGGGAGACCAGCTGCCCACTGCGAGGCAGTGCCTTGGGGGCCTGGACAGGGTAGGAAGGGAAGGTCTGCGTCATCTGGGCCACACTTCCTGGGCAGGGAGGGTCCATCCAGGTTTGGGAAGAGCCGGACGCGACCCATCGCACGCCGGACGGGGTGGGCAGGTCGGTGGAGCTCTGAGGAGGCAGAATTTCTCTCAAAGTTGGGGAGACCTCGGTGGTCAAGGAGAGGGCTACCCGGGCTGACAGGCTGTTTTGGGCAGAGGCTGGTAGATTTATGGTAGGGGCACTTCGTGGTGGGCAGGCGGTGGTAAGTGGTCTGTGGGAGTTGGCTGTTCTGGGAGGGGCGTCAAGTGCTGTTCCGGTGAGGTCCGGGTATTTCTAGGATGTTCGGTCCGTACATGGTTCTGTGTGCTTTGGGCCAGGGCAGTCAAGGTATGTTCTGGTAGGCTCAGGAATAGCGTTTGTAGCGGTCAGGGCTTCCCGGGGAGGGGGGGCCAGGGCCGTTTCCCACCGCGGCGAGGGTTTCAAGGCTCTGGTTAGTTTACAAGTGCAGTTGGCTGCGCGTTCTCCTGGCTCTGCTGCGGGGTCAGGGGCTGTTTTTCGGGGGTGGGTCAGTCAAGGCAAGTCGGGAGAGCTCCCTGGGTGTTGGGAGCTGTTTCTCGGGAGATGAGGGAGGTTCCGACGTTTAGGGGCTGCTCTTCGTTCCGGGGGCGCGAGGGGTGCGGTGTTCACAGGGCTGGGTAGTTCCGAGAGGCTCACCAGGGTTGGGGACCTGGCGCGCTCCAGTGGGGCTGCCTGAGCTAGTTTCTTTACTGAGCTCCCCCTCCTCCGCCCACTCGTCACCCCCTCCCGCGTTGCCACGACAACGCGTAAAACTAAAATTCACTTCCCAGTCGCAGGTGGAGACTAGTAGCGCCCCCTCCCCTAGCCCTTCTTCGCAGGTCGCGCCCCCATCCCGTCGTCGCTAAGGTGACGGGGAGGGGGCGACAGGCGTCGCATCTCCAGGCCGACCAGGGGTCTGGGGAGGAGCCCGGAGCAAACTCCCCAAACTCCGCCGGGGTCGGGGTGCCGCGCTGAGCCCTGCTGGGCGTGGTCGAAAGGGTTAATTCGGAAGGGCCTCTCACGCGGGGACAGGGAAGCCCCGGGCCCTCCAAGGCCGGAGGTTCCCCTTGTCCGACCCCCAGGACTGGGGCAGGGCTGGTCCCGCCGTCTCCTCCCGGCCGGAGTCGGGGGCCGGTAGAGTGGGGGAGAAGCCGTCACCTCCAGAAGTCAATTCTGTTTTTCTCTCCCCTACCTGCCCTGCCTTGGTGCCCTAGCGCAGCCCCCGGCCGGCTCGAGGACCCCCCCTCCGCACCTTCCCCTGTGGTCCGCGGACGCTCGCCCGCTGCGAAAGGGCGGCGCGGTTTCGCGGCTCAGCCACTCCCCTCCCGCCGAGGCCTAGGACTCCCCCCACCCCGCGCACAGCCCCCCGGGCCCCCGCCCGGTGGCTTGGCCCCTCGCCCCCCGCACAAACCTCCCACATCACCCCGGGACCCCGCACGTACCCCCCGACTGGCCCCGAGCCCTCCCGGCCCCCGCCTCCGGCGCAGCCCCCTCGCCACCCCCGCTTCCCTCCCGGCTCAGGCCCCCTCCCCCCGCCGCCCCCGCCCCCGGGAAGGCAGGCGCCGAGCTGAGCCGGGCCATGCAGCTAGCCGCGGCCTCCGCCGCCGCCGCCGCCGCCCCTGCGGAAGCCCCCGGAGCCGCTGCCCCCCGCGCCGCCCCCCGGCCCCCCGGCCCCCTCCGCGCAGGGGCCGACGGGCTCCGGCGGAAGGAGGGGCCGGGTCGCGCGGATCCCGCCGCTCCGTTCCAGCCGCGGCAGCCCTGGCCCGGCCCGGCCCGGCTCGGGCGGTGATGGACGGCCCGCCAGCCGCGTGGTCTTGCGCGCGGCATCCCGGACCTGCAGCAGACGGTGAGCCCCGGCGCCCCGGCAGCCGTGCCCGCGTCCCGCCCGCATCCCCACCCCGCCAGGCAGCGCCCGCGCCCCGGACCCCGGCCCACGGTATCACCTCCCCCGCCGCTCCCACGGGACCCTCCCCATCGCGGCGGGCGGGAAAGCCCAGCCCGGGGCGGCTTCGGGTCGCTTGCGCGGAGGCGCGGGTCCGCGGCGTTGTTATCCGACGGACTCCGGCTGGGGCCCGGGGCTCGGCACCCTCGCGAGCGGGCCGGGCGGTTCGCGTCGCGGTCGCGCTCACGAGCCGCTCCGCTGCAGAAGTGCCTGCGCCTGGACCCGGCCGCGCCCGTGTGGGCCGCCAAGCAGCGCGTGCTCTGCGCCTAACCACAGTCTTCCAGACGCCTAAACTACGGCCTCTTCCAGCCGCCCTCAGGGGCCGCGCCGGCAAGTTCCTGGATGAGGAGCGGCTCTTGCAGGATACCGCCAACCTGGACAGCCCTGCCTACCTGGGATCGCAGGCAGGCCGGGGAGGGGCAGCGCGCGGGGTGGGACCCCTGAGCTCCGTGGCATGATCAGTGAAGGGCATGGCCTTCGCTCACGGAGGGAGTTAGGGTGGGAGCCGTGTGCGTGAGGGGCAGTGTGCAGTGAGCAAACACCATGTGTGCAGTGAGGGGTGTGCAGTGAACAGGTACAGTGAGTGGTGTGTACAGCATTGCACACACAACTGGGCAGTGAGTAGTGTGAGCAGTGTGCACAGTGCTTGTGGCAGGCAGTGTGCACAGCGAGCAGAGTGTGCAGCCTGGCAGTGGGACGTGTGCAGTCGTGAGCAGTGTGCAGGTGCGTGCAGTCGGATGTGCAGTGAGCAGTGTGCAGTGCGTGCAGTCGCATGTGCAGGAGCGGTCGTGCGTGCAGTCGCATGGTGCATGGAGCGTGTGCAGTGCGTGCAGTCGGCATGTGCAGTGTGAGCAGTGGGCAATGCGTGCAGTTGGCATGTGCAGTGTGAGCGTGTGCAGTGCGTGCAGTTGGCGTGTGCAGTGCGTGCAGTTGGCATGTACAGTGTGAGCAGTGTGCAGTGCGTGCAGTGTGAGCATGTGCAGTGCGTGCAGTTGGCATGTGCAGTGTGAGCAGTGTGCAGTGTGTGCAGTTGGCATGTGCAGTGTGAACGTGTGCAGTGCGTGCAGTTGGCATGTGCAGTGTGAGCGTGTGCAGTGCGTGCAGTTGGCATGTGCAGTGTGAGCAGTGTGCAGTGCGTGCAGTTGGCATGTGCAGTGTGAGCGTGTGCAGTGCGTGCAGTTGGCATGTGCAGTGTGAGCAGTGTGCAGTGCGTGCAGTTGGCATGTGCAGTGTGCAGTGCGTGCAGTCGGCATGTGCAGTGTGAGCAGTGGGCAGCACATGTGGTGCGAACACTGAGTATTGCTCTGCGGGGAGGAGTGTGAGCAGGAATGAGTGCGGGAGGGGAATGTGGTGTGAGCAACACACCTGTGTGCACATTTGTCCCTCTCCCCCAGCTGTGAAGTCTTCTGAAGGCAACCTAGGTCCCCTCCTTTGCTCACTCGTCGTGGCGTGGAGGTGTATCGAGTGCCCTGCCAGGCTTGGGGTCACTGACTCAGGCCTTATGGGAAGGTCTCATAGTCGGGCGGGGGGAGGCAGCCAAGGTGAGCACTGGAATAAGATGTATGGAGGCTGAGCCCAAAGTTAGCCTGGCCTCCGTGCTGGCCTAGGGCAGTGGGGTCAGTCCTACTTGGACAGGGGTGTCTAGGGAGTGAGACTAGAGTCAGGTCTTGGGAGAGGAGCGGGGTTTTCCAGGGACTCCTGGGCAGGAGAGTGAGAGTGCTGCAGGCCGCGGGCAGCCAGAAACGCGGGGCCGGAGTTGGTGGGTAGCAGCAGCTGTCTGTCAGTTTTGTCTGTCCAGCACCGGAGTGCGTGTGTCGGGGTTTGTGTGGCTTCGGGCTGTGCTGCCTGAGGGGCGTGCCGGAGGGCAGTGAGCGGGTGCGGTGTGGCTGACGTGAGCAGGACGGGGTTTGTGGCGTGCTCACTCGCTCATCCCGCTCATCCCGGTGGGTGCGTTTTTCTCTACCTTTTCTTTATCTGAGCAGTTTCGATACAAGCGTCGAGTTTATGCCCAGAACCTCATTGATGATAAGCAGTTTGCAAAGCTTCACACCAAGGTAAAGAGACGATCACGGGGAGGAGACCCAGGAGTTACTTCCCACCTCCCTGTGGCCACTGCCCCCACCCCAGCCTGGGGTGGCCACAGACCGCTGGCTTTGGCTCAGTCTGCCCCCCTCCCGTCAGAGCGGGTACTGGGGAGGGCGGGGCACAGGTTCCAGGCCCCGTGTGGGGGCTGGCAGTCTGGCCACGGGTTCCAGTGAGATCAGACTCCCGCTGACCCTCTGGTGAGCCCCTGATGGAGTGTCCTGTGAGGAGAAGCTGGGTGGGAGGGAGTGGACAAGCCTCTGATGTGACCTGTTGGGGCAAGGCGCCCAGCACGAGTGATCACCCAGTGCTGGGCACTTAGGCACCTCATTAGTTCTCTCCTGGGAGGGACTATTATCACCCCGTTTCACGGATGGGGAAACTGAGTGCCAGAGAAGTTAAGTCACTTGCTCACAACCGTGAAGCCAGTGAAGCTGGGCCTGAACCCAGGTCTGTATCACTCCAGGCCCTGTGTCCAGGCACACCTGTGAGGTGTCTACTGCCGGGCACTACCTGCAGTGTGGGCCTGACCCCAAAAATGCCCCTTGGGG